AGTGGCCGGGAGCGGCCACTGCACTCTAGTCTGGGCGACAGAGTGAGACTCCAACTCAAAAAAATTAAAAATAATTTTAAAAATTTAAAATTTAAAAATTTTTAAAAATTTTAAAAATTTAAAAATTAAAAAAAATAAATTCTCTTTATCAGGTTGGAAATTCTCCTCTTCTTAATTTTTATTTTAAAGATGTGGGGAACAGTTCAGGGTTAGGTACAAATGGTCATTGTACAGGTAAAGTTTGGGCCTCACTTTGGTCCCCATGTCACCTTGTTTGAGATCAGGTACTCTTATTGATGAAGTGTTCCCCTCCCTTCCCCGACTCCCTCCCCTAGCAGTTTCCCACCTCTGCCAATCCCTTTCTTATAGTATTATGATAATTGTTCAGGGTTTGCTTATGAGTGAGAAAAATACTGTCTTTTGTGAATTTTTACATGGGAATTGCTCTCAGTTTTAAATTTTCTATTATCCTATTTTAATTACACATATCTATTGCCTCATTTATTCAAATGTTGATTGAAAGCTGAAAGGGATATAAAAGAATGAAATAGACTTTTCCTTCAAAAAAAAAAATCTAATTGAGATTAAACATACGCATACAAATGGAAAGGCATTAGCAAATAATGTGACCATGTAAATCATCATCTAGACTGAGACACTTTTGTTTTTTGAGTTGGAGTCTCACTCTGTCACCCAGGCTGGAAAGCAGTAGGATGATCATGGCTCACTGCAGCCTCAAACTCCTTGGCTCAAGGAATCCTTCCACCTCAGCCTCCTGGGTAGCTAGGACTATAGTTATATACCACTGTGCTGGCTTATTGTTTTAAAATTTTTTGTATAGACGAGGTCTTGCTGTGTTGCCCAGGCCGGTCTTGAACTCCTGGGCTCAAGCAGTCCTTGCACTTTGGCCTCCCAAAGTGCTGGGATTACAGGCATGAGCCACCATGCCTAGCCTAGACTGGAACTCTTCTGAGAGTGAAAGAGTACATCCAACCGGGGCAACCTGTGTTAATCAGGACTGGCCTATGCAGATTTTGGAACATATGATCATCCTTCTAACAATACAAAGTCAAAAATACATGAGAGAATGATAAGCATATGTTCATTCAATGAAATGTCAGATTTGGAAGGAAGGTCTTCCTGGGCTACATGATCAGGTCTGGCTTTATGTTAGAAGGGGGAGATTTCAGGAGGTTTGAAAGATTTGATAATTCCTATAGGCAGAGAGGAAGTAGGCATTATATATATATATATATATATATATATATATATATATATATATATATATATATTTCTTTCTTTCTTTCTTTCTTTTTTTTTTGAGTTGGAGTCTCACTCTTGTCGCCCAGGCTGGAATGAAATGGCACACTCACAGCCACCATAACCTCGACCTGTGGGTTTAGGCAATCCTTCTGACTTAGCCTTCCAAGTAACGAACTACAGACGCACACCACAACGCCCGACTAATTTTTGTGATTTATTGTAGAGATGAAGTCTCACCAAGTTGCCCAGGCTGGTCTTGAACCCCTGGGCTCAGTCAATCCTGTTGCCCTCGCCTCCCAAAGTGCTAGGATTATAGGCTGAGCCACCACACCCGGCCAGAAAGTAGGCATTTGAAGACAAAGTGTTAAAGAGGAAGAGCACAATTCATGGCACTTTTAAAAGATAGTGTGTAGAGATGTTTCCTGGAGTAGGCGATTTATAAAGGAGACACATTGGGACATAAAATGTTTATTTGTTTGTTTGTTTGTTTTTGAGTTGGAGTCTCACTCGGTTGCCCAGACTAGAGTGCAGCGGCCGCTCCTGGCTACCGCAGCCTCGCCTGCTGTGCTCCGGCGATCCTTCCGCCTCAGTCATCCGAGTAGCCGGAATTACAGGCATGCACTACCACGCCCGGCTGATTTTCTGATTTATTGTAGAGATGAGGTCTTGCTGCCCAGGCGGGTCTCGAACCCGTGGGCTCAGGCAATCCACTCACCTCAGCCTCCCAACGGCATCGGATTACAGGCTGAGCAACCGGGCCCGGCGGGACATAAAGTTTAAAAAAAGTAGCCCAGTGCGATGGCTCAAGCCTATAATCTCAGCATTTTGGGAGGCCCAACGTGAGAGGATTGCCTGAGCCCAGGGGTTTGAGACCAGCCTGGGCAACTTGGTGAGACCTTGACTCTACAATAAATAAAAAAATCAGCTGGGCGTGGTGGCACACACCTGTAGCTACTTGGAAGGCAACTTGGAAGTAGCTTCCAAGTACTTGGAAGGTTGAGGTGAAAGGATCTCCTGAGTCCAGCAGGTTGAGGCTGCAGTGGTCATGAGCATGCCATGGGAGACAGAGTGAGACTCCAACTCAAAAAAAAAAAAAAAAAAAAGTAAATTGAGGGTAGATTGTGGTGAGCATTAAATGCTCAAATACGGATCTTGGAAGTAACTCACAATGGGTTGAAAGCCTTGGAATTAAATCAAACATTTATTGAATAATATACCTAATTAAGCACTGTACAAAATTCTCCTGATATAAATAGAAATAAAAGCGAAACCCCTTAAATGCTTATAATCTAGAGGGAGTATTAAGTATCTATCATATATTATATCATAGCTATCTATCTATTTTTTTTTTTTTTTTTTTTTTTAGTTGGAGGTCTCACCCTGTAACCCACTGCTTACCTCAGCCTCAACCTCCTGGCATCAGGTGATCCTTGCACCTCTGCCTCCTGAGTAGCTGGGACTATGGATGCGTGCCACCACACCTGGCTAATTTAAAAAACTTTTTTGTAGAGACAAGGCCTTGCTTTGTTGCCTAGGCTGGCCTTGAACTTACGGGCTCATGCAGTCCTCTTGTCTTAGCCTCCCAAAGTGTTGGTATTACAGGCGTGAGCCACTGCTCCCAGCCTGTCTGTCTTCTATCTATCAACGTATACTCACAACATAAGGTAGACTATAATAAATATGATAGATTCAATATGTAAGAAGAGGGAAGGGAGAAAATTTGGGGGCACCTGGGAAAATTTCTTGGAGAAGGTAGGATTTGAACTGGGCTTTGAATGAATATAAACTCTAATGCCTAGAACAGTGCCTAGCATGTAATAGTAAATATTAAATGGATGAATGAATGAACAAAATGTTGGAGCTTCTATAGGTGGATATGGGGTTAGAGTGGGCCACAGGGGCAAGCTGACTAAAGTAAATATCTTTGAATAAAGATGAAGAGAGACAGAATGTATTATCTATTTGATATATAACAAGTAGTTCACTTTGGCTAAGACTATAACATTTGTGTAGGAGAGTTGTACCTGTAGGTTGGTCTAAGGCCACAAGGAAGATTGGCATTCTTTGGAAGCCACTGAATGTTTCTGAATGAGAAATATGATGAAAACAATTCTATATGATTATAGCAGGAATGTGTAAAATAGAAAGCCTGGAGGCAATGAGGGAAATTAAGACACTAGTGTTCTCAATTGGAGCTTTGATTATGATAATGACAGTGGAAATATAAATGAAATGATGCGTTCAAGAAGGATTATAAGGAAGATGCAGCAAAACCTGATATGTATCTGGATAGAATAACTAAAATAGATTATACTATGGTTTGGATTCTGAGTGACTGGGAGAATGATGGTATCTTTGGGGGGGGAATCATAAGGAAGATTTGATTTATTAGGAGGCTGATTAGTAGAGTTATGATCCTCTTTCTTGGATTTTCTGAAATAGTCCCTATGCAGAGAAGAGATAACATAGCAGGCTTAAACTGCTGTTCTTGAAAAGGCCTGCTTGCAAGGTTGGCTTTGCCTGGAGTCTGAGAACTTAGATTTCAGGAAGGTCTCTACCATTAACTAATAGTAGTGGCTTGCTGTGTGAAAACTGTTTATACAAATAATATAGTTTATTCTGAATACCTGCTTTTCTTCTGGGATTCTGGAATTTAGGTATGTGCCAGACAGGAGCTGCATCTGTGATTAGCCCCCAATAAAAAACCTGGACACTGAGTCTCTAATGAGCTTCCCTTCTTTGGCAACATTTCTTGGGTTTGTCACAACTTGTTACTGGGAGAATAAAGTACATCCTGTGTGACTCTGCTGGGAGAGAATCCTTGAAAGCTTATGCTTGGTTTCCCTTAGACTTTGCCCCATAACCATGAGTAGGACTATATGCTGAGTCTTAGAAGTCATCTTAGAGAATCACTGAACTGAGGACCCTCAGACACAGTCCTACATTTTAAAATGTCTGGAAAGGCTGGGTGCGGTGGCTCACACATGTAATCCCAGCACTCTGGGAGGCAGAGGTGAGAGGATTTCTTGAGTCCAGGGGTTCGAGACCAGCCTGGGCAACTTGGCGAGACTTGGTCTCTATAATTAAAAAAAAAAAATTAACCAGGCATGTGGTTCCAGCTACTTGGAAGTCTGAAGCAGAAGGATCACCTGAGTCCAGTAAGTTGAGGCTGTGGTGGCCGTGAGCATGCCACTGCACTCCAGTCTGGGCAACAGAGTGAGACTCCTACTCAAAAAATAAAAAAATAAAAATAAATTTTAAAATGTTTGATCTATTATCAGACAGTTTGTCAGACATTGTCCAATAATGTATTGTCATTTTTATATTTGGAAAATTTGACCATAGTAGCTATGTGCTAGGTGCTCTGAGAGACAGAAAAGTAAATGACTGAGTCTCTTACTTGAGAGAGCTTAACATCCGAAATGAAAGATAAAAAATAAATCATAGAACCTTTTGGACTTACTACAGAAAGAATATATGGTGTCTTCTCAACTTTAATGAAGAACAAGTCCAGTTTTGATTGGAAAAGAACCAGTAAAGCAATATCAGTTAACAGGATCACAGCTGAAATTAGGAGGGGTATTTAAAAATGGCAGCAGGGTGGCAAAAATCTCATCAATTACTGTAAGTTATAAGGGAATTGTCAGTTTTAGTTGGTTTCTTGGATTTTCTATAGTTTGTAGATGGTTCTGGACCAAGAATATTTGGCTTAGGACATTAATTTGTAATAATGTTATATGGGCTAGGTGTGGTGGCTCACACCTGTAATCCCAGCACTTTGGGAGTCCGAGGTGGGTAGATTGCTTGAACACAGGAGTTTGTGATCAGCCTAGGAAACATAGTGTGACTTTGTCTCTATGAAAAAAAAAAAAAAATTAGCCAAGCATGGTGGCATGTACCTGTAGTCGCCTGCCACTTGGGATGCTGAGGTGGAAGGACAACCTGAGCCCAGGAGGTCAAGGCTGCCATGAGCTGTGATCATTGTGATTGTGCTACTGCACTCTGGCCGGGGTGACAGAGTGAGACCCTGACTCAAAATAAAAATAAAATAGCACAATAAGATAAAATAGTTGTAGGAATACTCTGTACTCCTGGTAATGGTGTCATTTACACATATGATGACCCATGATTAGTTGTGAGGGATGTTATATAATTTGTTACTTGTAATTATTAAAATGCAAAATTTTGAGAATGACTTACTACTTGGTTTTTGGAGCAGATTTAAGATTCCTGTTGCTAGCATTTGAATTGGAGAAAAGGAGACATCATTATTTAGGTAGTATATCTTACACAGCAGTATTATCAATCCTGTGACACATAAAGGAAAAAGATTGAGAATGCTGCTGTACAGAGATAAATCAAAGTGCTGACAGAAAGTTTACAGAATGTTTATCTAGGAATCTGTAATTGAGTACTGTTTAATAAATACATTGTTTCTGATATGTCTTTAATAACATATATTCACATTTTTATATTTTATATAGCTACCCAGACAATGAAAAGCCATTGGATTGGTTTCTCCCTCCTGCTCCACTGATTTCAGAAATTCCAGATACTCAAGAGTTAGAGGAAGATATAGAAAGTCACAAAATGTTAGGTAAATTATCATATATTTGTTGTAAAGCCAAACCCATGCTGTTCATGTCAGCATTAAAAAAACTCGTATTTGATCATTACACATTGCATACATGTATCAAAATATCACATGTACCCTAGAAATGTGTATATTCATTATGTATCTACCAAAAAATTGCTTTATGAAAGTCAAACTTATTCAAAAAAGTGCTGGGTGCAGTGGGACTCACCTATATAGTCCTTGCTACTTTGGAGGCTGTGACTAGCCACTGCACTCCGGCCTGGGCAACATAGTGAGAACTCCATCTGTAAAAATAATAGATAATTAATTAAAAAAACCAAAAAGTACTCACCAAATCTTTAAATTTAAAACATTTTCCCTCTTCATACATGTAATACACATACATATGAAAAAAATATGTGCACACAGTACACTATTTTTTGTTGTTGTTATAGTTTTTTATTTGAATTAAGAAAGGTAGATTTGTTAAAGAGAAGAAACATTGTGAGTGGCACAATGGGCAGGACGGCAGCAAGAGTGTCTGCTGCCCACAATACACTATTACATACACTTGTATTGACTATCATTCTGTGAATGTTTTTTCTTTTTACCATTAAAACTCTTATCACTCCTGTTCAGTGTTTGCCTTGCCCTTTACTGAAGGTAAGATCCTCTGGGTAACCAGACCTCTGAAATATTGAGTGAAAAAGCAAAATGCAGATTACATACAGTTTGATACCATTTTTATAAAACTCAGAAACAAGCACACTCAATGTATGTGATCTAATGTAATATTGGTAAAATTTTAATTTTTAAATTGGGTCATAGGTTCATGTATATGCATTTTATTAAGTTTCATAATTTACATGTTACATATAAACACATATACTCTTGTATCAAATAATATATAACATATATAATGCATAATATAATATATATACATAGATGCTAAAGCAAATTTAAGCCCTAAGAAGGCCTCTGAACTCCTCCTAAACCTCCCAAAGATTTTTATAAAGTCTCTCTAAAGAAACCTTTAAAATTCTGTCACATGTTGGAAACATTCCTTTAGGTTGATTTTATAAATAAGATTACAGGCTAGGCTCCATGGCTCACCTGTAATCCCAGCACTTTGGGAGGCCGAGGTGAGTGGATTGCCTGAGCCCAAGGGTTCAAGACCAGCCCGGGGAACTTGGCGAGACCTCATCCCTACAATAAATCAAAAATTAGCTGGGCATGGTAGTGCGTGCATGTAGTTCTGGCTACTTGGAAGGCTGAGGTGGAAGGATCACTAGAACCCAGCAGTTGATGCTGGGGTGGCCATGAATGTGCCACAGCACTCCAGTCTGGGCAACAGAGTGAGACTCCAACTCAAAAAAATAAATAAATAAATAAAAATTAAAAAAAACAAGATTACAAACTTAAAATCATTGTATCATGTATTTTAATACTGATCATATTCAGTAACATTTTATATGATTGGTCATTGTATGTATAATTATATCATTTGGTAGATAAAACAGTTAAGTATTACAATTATGGTTATTGAATTATGAGTCAGGATTTAAACCTATTTTATAATGTAGGTTCTATGTAAATTTCACATTTAAATTCAATTAATTCTGAATTAATTTCTGAGTGTCTTTCAGTGATATAATATACCAAAGGAATAACAATTCACCTGTATTTTAAAACCATATATGGTATTACAAATTATCTTGTTTTGTATTAAAGTTTTCTTTTGGTTTTCATAGTTAAGTGGTAAAATCTTTTGAAATTTTAATCTAAAAATTTAGCAATCGTTTTGAAAATTTACTTTCATGGAAACATGTAATAATTAATATATTCCTTTTTTGTAGGTCAGGAAAAATGGCCAAAAATATTAACATCAAATTTGAAGATAAGTAATGAAGGGACAAATTATATTTCACCAACTCAAAAATTCCAGTGTCCCTTTCCCTCTGATAAATATGAACAAGATTATTTAAATTTAGGAGGGATAGGTAACAATGACTTCTCACACGTTGCTGACAAGCTGACATATGGTTCTCAGAAATATAAAAATCATATTGGCAATGAGATAGCACCTGAGGAAAATGTTCCTGATGATACAAAATTAGTTACTTTTGAAGAAGATAAAGGAGAGAGCCCATCAGCATTCCGGAAAAGGTAATTTAAAATGCAATGAAATAAATAATATTCAATAAGTAAAGTTGAATATTTATGTGTACATTCAAAAATAATAAATATGGTAGAATCTGAATGAGAAAAATAGAAAAATTCCATCTCCTAAATAATTCTGGACTCTCTCCATTCCTGCTACCAGAATTGTAGTCCTACCCACCACAATAACCATCATTGTAACATTTAACTATATTATCTGCTACAAATGATACCCACCACAGTCCGGGTGGAACACAGGAATCTTCATTTTTAACAAACTTTCCAGGTGATTATTATGCACACTAAAGTTTGAGAACCATTTTCCTGCAGTCCTGGGTTTTAAACAGAAGAATAAACTTAGACTTGCTTTTCTTTAAAAGTTCATTTTGGCTTCAATATGGAGTATTAATTAAAAGGGAGTTAGAATACATTGTGAAGGGCCACTTTAAAGGTTATTTTCTTAGACTAGGAGGGAGAAAATGGCAGCCTGATCTAGGACTGTGGGAATAGGAATGAAGAGGGTTAGGAATTATTTAGGAGATAGAATCCCACAGGACTTAAGTGACTTTCATTGGTCATGAGATCTGACTCCTAGGTTTCTGGTTTGAGCCAGGATGATGAAGAATGGTAATGCTTTTTTATGCTACAGAGAACTATAAAGGAAGAACAGGTTTTGGGGAAGGTGATGAATACAGATTTGTACATGTTGATTTTAGATACTTAGATACTTAAAAGTGGTCCAAATAGACAATTGGGTTATGTGTTCAGGATTTAGAAAAAGCCTAGTTGATAGTTTTTATTTTCTCTATGACATAGGTGATGAGGTTATTTGTGAAGTTTGAGGGAAAAAGTGAGGATATTTGACAAGAATGAGAAAAGTGGAAGAAATGACAGAAAATGCAAAAGCAATCTAATTAGAATAATAATGGTAGAATTGCTGGGCACTGTAAAGGGCCCAGTTGAGATTGATGTCTATAGTTTTTTTTACAATATCTTTATTAAAATATAATTCATATACCATAAAAGTCATCCTTTTGAAGTGTACGATTCGTTGGCTTTTATAAAACATAGTTATACAATCATCACTATTACTTAATTTTATAACATTTTCATGGCCCGCAAACGAAACTCCTTACTAATTAACAGTTACTCTTCATTCCTCCCTCCCTCCTCCACCTGACAACTATAAACCTACTTTCTGTCTCTATAGATTTACCTATTCTAAACATTTCATATAAATGGGATTCTACAATATGTGGCTATTTGTGTCAGGCTTCTTTCACTTAGCATAACATTTTCAAAGTTTATCCATGTTGTATCATGCATCAGTACTTCATTCCTTTTCATGGCTGAATAACAGTTCGTTGAATGGGTACACCACATTTTGCTTATTCATTTATCAGTTGATGGACATTTGAATTGTTTCCACTTTTTGGCTATTGTGAATAGTGTCGCAATGAACATTTGTGTGCAAGGTTTTGTGTGAATGTATGTTTTCAATTCCTTTGGATATATACCTAGAAGTAGAATTGCTGGGTAATATATTAACTGTATATTTAAATTTTTTGAGGAACTGCCAAAATTGTTTTTCCAAAGTGGCTGCATCACTTTACAATCCCATCAGCAATATACGAGGGTTCCAGTTTCTCCACATCCTGGCCTGCACTTCTTACTGTCTTTTTTATTATAGCCATCCTAGTGGATGTGTAAAGAGGTATTTCATTGTGGTGTTGATTTGCATTTTCATAATGACTAATTGCCATTATGAACATTTGTATGCCTAACCCTGAACTGTACCCCACATCTTTAAAATAAAATAAAAAAATTAAAAGGGAAAAAAATTATATATGGTATCAGGTGGGTGTCTACCTTCATTTTTTTTTTTAAATGTACATATTCATTTGTTCCAGCAAATAGAAAAGACTGTTTCTTTCCCTATTGAATGACATGGCACCCTCATTAGAAATCAACTGACCCTAAATGTAAGGTCTAGGGCATTTACTGATACCAGCCAATTCTTTGGTTCTCTGATACCAAGTTGGTGTCCAACAATTGAAATCATTTTTGACCCTTAACTCCTGGCGTTAGCTTCAGATCTCACAGGTTAAGGGACTCAGTTTGATAAGACTGACCCCACTTCAGATGCCAGCCGACCATGAGGTACCCAGGCCACCTACATTTCTATCTGGTTGACTACAAATTAGAGGGTTCTCATGACCCCACCTTAGGTTTAATTGCTACAGTGACTCATGGAACTAAAGGAAACACTTTACTTACATGCTTAACAGTTTATTATACAGGGTGCAACTCCAAATAAAAGAAATGCGTAGGGCCAAATATGGGGGAGAAGGTACAGAGCTTCCATGCCTTCTCTGAGCATGTCCTCCCCCTACCCTTAATGTGTTCACCTTTCCAGAAGCTCTCAGAACTTTGTTGTTTAGGGGTTTTTATGGAAGTTCCATGACACGGACATGATTGATAAAATCGTTAAGTGTTGGTAATTTAACTCAATATTCAGCCCTTCTCCCAACTAGAGGTGGATGGGGCAGTGGGAGCTGAAAGTTTCAACTCTCTAACCTCATGGTTTGTTCCTCTTGTAACTATCCCCCATCTTGAAACTATCTAGGGTCCCCCAAGCATCACTTCATTTGCATAAACTCAATAACAAAAGATGCTCCTGCCACTCAGGAAATTCCAAGAGGTTTATATCCTGTTATACCACATAAGGGTTTCTTTCTGGACTCTTGGTTCTACTCCTTTGATCAATATGTCTATCCTTAAGCAAGTCCTGCACTATCTTAATTACTGTAATTCAAATTATTAACTGAATAAGTAAATTTTCAAATCATGAAGTGTAAGTCTTCCAACTTTGTTCTTTTTTTCAAAATTGTTTTGACTAATCTGGGTCCTTTGCATTTTCATATGAATTCTAGTATAAGCATGTCAATTTCTGCAAAGAAGATTGCTGAAATTTTGATAGGCATTGTGTCGAATCTATAAATCAACTTGAGGAGTATTAAGTCTTCCAGTGTATGAACATGGGATATTTTTTCATTGTTTTGGTTTTGTTTAATTTCTTTTTTTTTTTTAATTGGAGTCTCACTCTGTCACCCAGGCTGGAGTGCAGTGGCACGCTCATAGCCACCCCAGTGTCGACCTGCTGGGCTCTGATGATCCTTTCACTTCAACCTTCCAAATAGCTGTAACTACAGGTGCACACTACCACACCCAGCTAATTTTTTGGTTTATTGTAGAGATGAGGTCTCACCAAGTTGCCCAGGCTGATCTTGAACTCGTGGGCTCAGGCAATCCCCTCACCTCAGCCTCCCAAAGTGCTGGGATTACAGGCTTGAGCTACTGCACCTGGCCATTTAATTTCTTTTAATGATTTTTTAGTGGTTTTTATTCCTAAGTATTTTCTTCTTTTTTGATGCTATTATAAATGAATGTTTTTTTTCTTAATTTCTCCTTTAGATTTTCCATCACTAGCATATATAAATACAGTTGATTTTTGTATATGGATCTTGTATCCTGGAACATTGCAGATAATGACTCTAAATTTTATTTGTTTATTTATTTATTTATTTAGAGTTGGACTCTCACTCCATCACCCAGGCTGGAGTGCAGTGGCACATCACGACCACCCCAGTGTCGTCCTGCTGGGCTCCAGGGATCCTTCCGCCTCAGCTTCCAAGTAACTGGAACTACAGGCACTCATGACTCTGAATTTTAATATTACTCATCTACCCAACAGTTATGCTTTTTTCCAGCAGTGTTTTACTGCCTGGCTGAAATTATTTAAAATGAAACAAAACAAGTAGATTCATCTAGAATTGTTTTACAACATATGTATGGTGAAAGGATACAGGGAAAGAAGAGTCTAGAACATTGGCAAGAAAGTAGTTGAAAAAATAGGCCATGGAATCTAAGTCCATAAAAGATGATGGAGAAAAAAGGAAGGGAAGATATTTGAGAAAATAGAGAGGTTAATTAAAGTTAATTTGTTCTTTGACCTCATTGGTACCTTGCTCAAACAAGCCGTAGGGATAACAGGTTTTGGTCAGAGAATGTTATCTCTGAATTATTGAGTTGAAAGAAGGGGCAGTTCTGGATAATTTCAAAGTCTGTGCTGAGACAGGAGGTAATTGAGATGATGTGAAGGAGAAAGCCATTGGAGATGAATTACCTAAGGAAATGAGAAGGCAAGATTTTGAATGGGTTGTCTGCATGAACGTTGAAGAAATACACAACGATGGCAGAATTTGGGATTGAAAGGAAAAGATTCTAAAGAGACTAGAAGGTTGATATGTGTGATATATATGTGCTACAGGATGGTGTAGTGAGATAGCACAGAGACTTTTGTGAGAGTAAAAGAGTAATGATCTAGGTTTGGAGTAGAGAGGAAGACACAGACTCCCAACCTTCAAATACATTGGATGTGAGAGAATTAGGTGATTCCACTTTAGTGTTTTTTAAGGAGATAGTGTCTCAGGAAAGATATATATGTGTGTATATATATAAATATATATATATTTATATACACACATACACACACACATATATATGTGTGTGTGTATGTGTGTATATATATATCAAGAGCAGAAAAACAGTATAACAATCAGTAAAGAAGTTGATATAGGGTGGAGTTTGTAGAGTAGGAGTTCCAGAGGACCTAGGAAGGACCTGAGTCCAGAGAATTTAGGTAACTAATAAATGTGAATAATATTTTTCAGTTTGAAAAACTTATTCCAAGCCGGGCTCGGTGGCTCAGCCTGTAATCCCGTGCCTTTGGGAGGCTGAGGTGAGTGGATTACCTGAGCCCGCGGATTCGAGACCCACCTGGGCAGTGAGACCTCATCTCTACAATCAATCAAAAAATCAGCTGGGCGTGGTAGCGCATGCCTGTAATTCCGGCTACTCGGAAGGCTGAGGAGGAAGGATCGCCGGATCCCAACAGGTCGAGGCTGCGGTGGCCGGGAGCGGCCACTGCACTCCAGTCTGGGTGACAGAGTGAGACTCCAACTCAAAAAAAAAAAAAAAAAAGAAAAGAAAAACTTATTCTAAACTTTCACTAACTTTAAGTCACACAGCAGAAAGTGAAAGCACTTTGGACTTAAACCCCCCCAAAATTAGCCGGGCTTGGTGACACACACCTGTAGTTCCAGCTACTCAGGGGCTGAGGTAAAAGGTTTGCCCTGAACCCAGGAGTTTGAGGACTTTGAGGCAAAACAAAAACAAAAACAAAAAAACGCTGACATTGACGGTTTCAACTCTACAGTTTGTTCTAAAATAAATTTTCCTGTCTAGTTTTTTAAAGATTGGTTCTTATACAAAAACATGTCCCTGAGAGTAAATAGTAAGAACAACTTAGAAAATAGCCTATTTGTCCGGTGCTTGTTTGGGTGTCATTCTTTATCAATTTCTGTAAGACTGATACCTGCCGTAATCTCCATTACTTATTCTATGAGATGTGAATGTTATATTAGGAACCTTAATGGTTACTTCATTCATGAGGGTCGTTGTGAATAAATTACTTTTTTGATAGATTGTCTTTTTATCAGCCAAATATAATAAAATTATAATGATGGTGTTTTTCTTGTTTTTTAAAGAACTACAAAGAAGTATTTCTTACACTAAAATGGTTATTGGATAGTGTTTGGGATGATTTGATCTGCTAATATACTTAGTTTACTTCTTTTCCTTTTTGGGGGTGGGGTACACAACCTTGATTTGATTGGTAGAAAAGCTGTATATGTTGTCTCATAGCTTCTGTGAAGCCAAATGCAGTAGCTGATAACTTGTAATTCTTGACTGGTATGTTAAATTATTCCTATAAATATAAATATGTTAATTTATTTCTATAACTTGAATCTCTTCAGCTAAATTTAACTACTATTAGGTGTTCCAAAACTTAACTGCTATTTACTGTGACTATATTTAGTGACTTTTTTCCTCTTAAGCATTTTATTGACTTTAAATGAGACATTAGTTATCTGTTGTGCAGTAAATTATCCCAAAACTTAGTAACTTAAAACAATAAACTTTTTTATCTCTTATAGTTTCTATGAGTTAGGAATTTAGGAAGAACTTAACTGATAGTTCTGGGTTAGCATCTCTTAGGCGAATGCATACACATATTGGGGGCCTCTCACAAGGAGGCTACAATTAAAATGTTAGCCAGGCTGCAGTCATTTGAAAGCTTGATAGGGTCTATCGGATCTGTTTTCAAGGTGGCTTACTCTCCTTGGCTGGCAATTTGGTGCTGGTTGTTGACAGGATACTCAGTAACCTCTCCACAGAGTTGCTTGAGTGTTCTCATGAAATGGTGGCTAGCTCCTCGTAGAGTGAGATATCTGAGAGACCGTGTAGAAGGGGCAATGTCTTCTATAACCTAGCCTTGGAAGTCACACACTTGCACTTCCGCAGTACACAGGCCAATCCTGATTCAGCGATTCAATTTGTAGGACACTGCAAAACGGTGAAGGTTAGGTGAGAGTCACTGGGGCCATTTTAGAGACTGACTAATTTATCTGAGTTTCAGGAAAGTGAAAAGAGATAATTCAGTGGTAAACTTAGGAAGTCACATTTTAGGAGAATGATTAGTTTTTTTGTTGGCCTAAACCATAATGTATGAGTATTTTGAAAGGGGCCAATCTTATGCTGGTTTTTCAGATTCTAAGCAACTGTTACAAGTAAAAAAGTGGGGGTTTTTCTTTTTCAGATTATTTAAAATATCTGACAATATCCATGGAAGTGCTTATTTTAATGACAGTGCAAACTTGGACTCTCACACTGGCTCAATGAAAAATGTACAAACAGAAATGAACAAAGGGAAATCAAGGAACTATAACAATAGTAAGGAGAAACCTCAGTATTCTGCAAATATGTTTATAGCAAATGATGCTTTTCCTGCTTCTAAAATTGGAGAAGACATATTTAAAGCACCATCTTTGCCAGTTGCTTCCCAGCCTCATGATAGTCAAGGTAATTCCTTGTTTGTTTGTTTTTTCACCTGGTTTTATAAAAGTACAAACTAATCTGCATTTCTAAGCACAGGGAAAAACATAAAATATAGTAAATTTGAGTAGGTGCAATTTCTGCATTCCCTATTTTCCTGCATTTTTTAAGCTGTGCTATGTGTTTATTTTTAAATTGTATCTTAAAAATATTTTAAACTTTGCTCTCAATAAAATTATGCAAGTTTTATTAAAGCAGTTTTATGGAAAAGGTTAAAAATATTCATATAGATGTGTAGTTCTTTTTTTTTAGGGCTAAAAGAAAATGGTTTAGGCTCTTTGAAGGCGGTCACAGAAATTCGTATCCTTTAAATTATTTACAACAGTCACTTTATGAAACAATTGTGTAAAATTTTGTTTGTGTTTATATTTGTTTATTTTGGTTGACAAAGAAAACAAGGGAAAAGTGCATCTTTTGGGTCATATGAGAGATACGGGTATGATACAGCTACTCAAAGTGTGGTCTGCAGACTGGTGCCAATTTGTGAACTGTGTGTTATCAGTCTATGACAAGATAAATATAAATCAGATTTGTATTACTGGCAGAACTCTAAGAACATTTACTTACAGATAGGTACAGATAATTTCTCATATTTTGTTTAAGAACAGCCAAATTGGGTTAAACTTGGTAGGGGAAATGGATGGGAATGGGACAATTTGTGAATTGGCAACAATTTTACAAATCTAATGTTTTTTCAAAGGACCTAATTTGGAGTTTATACATACAATACAATTTGCATGTCTGGACATTTCCAGTGTAAATATTTTGAGTATGTATGTGTGTTCTGAGGGTAACATCCTTTTGGCTTCTTTAATATTTTGTATATGCCTTTAACAGTGTACTTATTCTGTTTAATTTATCAGCTGTTTATTTGACTATTTCTCCATGACCTACAAACTCTCTGAAAGCAAGCACCATGCCTCATTTATTTTTCTACCTTCAAATATATCAAAAGGCAGTTAAAGTAAGGCAGATAAAGTAAGGAAATTTTTCTGGCAAAGGAGTAGTCATGAGCAAGAGTGAGAGTAAAAAAATATGAAATATGTTCACAGAGTAAGCATTCTAGTTTGGCTGAAGTGAAAGATGTAATTAAAGAAGTAATAGGAAATAACATTAGATAGGTATCTTAGCATCAGATTATTTAATGTCATGAATACCAAGGTCAAGCATTTTTGTTTTTATTTTCTATTTTTCCTCAGCTTTTTGAGGTATAATTGACAATTAGAAAGTGAATGTATTTAAGGAATGCAAACATGTTTTATTATAGGTATACATTGCGAAAATGATTACCACAATCAAGCTAGTGAACATATACAGCACCTTCCATAGTTAACTTAAGAATACTTAATATCTACTGTCAGTATTTTTATCTTATTTTATTTATTTGTTTTATTCATTTATTTTAATGTATTTTATTTTATTTATGTTATATTTTATTTTATTTTAGATAGGGTTTCACTCTGTCACCCAGCTAGAGTGCAGTGGCGTGATTCTGGCTCACTGCAGCCTCAACCTCCTGGGCCTGGGTCCAAGCAATCTTCCCATCTTAGCCTCCCAAGTACCTAGGACTATAGGTGGGCACCACTATACCTAGCTAATTTGTATTTTTTGTAGGTACGAGGTCTCACTATGTTGCCCTGACTGGTCTCAAATTCCTAGGCTCAAGTGATCCTCCCACCCTGGCCTCCCAAAGTGCCTGGTCATGTTTTTATTTTTAATGAGTTTATTAAGCATTGAGGAGAAACCATGTAATTTTGAACAGGTCAAGTTTCATCATCAAAATTATGCTTTAGGGATATGGAATTAGTGACTCAATACTTGGGAATGCTCTAGAACCCACAAAAGTTATAGTCTAGTTGGCAAAGCAAAGTGAATTCCAGATATTGGCCAGTTGAGCTAGAGAAATCCAGGCAACAGTGACTCGAATCCTGGGTACTATGGGCATCATTTATGGTAATTCTGAAGTATGGTTAGAAAATATTTGCCTGAAAACTCATGAAAAGTTGCCTCTAATGTAGATAACTGATTTGAGTTAAAACGGGAAGAGGGGACAATAACAGGGTATACTTAATGATATAAGCATGTTTTCTCAGTCTTGCCATACTTCCTTTTCTCTGGTGATCAAAGCAGGGCAGGAACATAGGATATATATTAGTAGTAAGCAATTAATGATTGTTTAATTATTTGTATGATGGGAGATTCTTCTTTTCCTTATTAGAAGCCTTCTATAATACAGTACTGTCTTTTAAATGGGTTTAAAGATCTTTATGCTATATTAGCATAGCTGAAGTGGTTCTGTTGTTTAGGTGTCTGTCTTCATTTGTGTCCATTGATTTATTGTCCAAAAAGTTAATTTTCTGTCAAATTCATTGTACTATACGATCTTGTTTCCAAGTATGCATTTAAAGTGGAGGACAATGTTATTTGTGATAATTTGAGAGTTTGTAGATTACTTGGACACAGTTTATTTTTAAATATTTTTCTGTGTTTGAATCCTCAGGACAAAAGAAGTCTTGTCAGATTGGTCCTACCACAGTACTTCTGTCATTTTCAGTTCTACAGACATTTTCCTCATTATAACATATAATTCCAGTGACACTGCTAAGAGTTTGAATGGAAGGAAAAAATTGATTTTAAGTGTTGATAGTGATGATAAATGATGTTAGCAGTCGAGTTTTCTTATGAGTTGAACACTGATTCTACATCTACTCTGAATCAAAGATTCATTTTTGCGAATATAAATTGATGTGGAACTGTCTAATGAGAGAAAAACCAGCATGATGTCCCTCTTGTAGTCTTGTTACAAATAAATATTTTATAGAAAGAGACATATTTTGAAGAAAAAATCAGATTCCTTCAAAAACTGATGGATTTACAAACTCAAAATTACATTTTTGTTTTAATACAAATATTCTGACACTACACAACAGAAATTAAAATGAAGATTTATGAATTAGCTGCTTGATATAAGTGCAAACCTATATTAACTGAGTGCTTACTATGTGTCATGCACTGTTCTAGGTATTTGTGATATGTCACTTAAGAAAACAATGAGGTTGGGTGTGGTGTCTCACACCTGTAATGTTAGCACTTTGGGAGGCTGAGGCAGGAAGATTGCTTGAGCCCAGAAGTTCTAACCAGCCTGGGCAACATAGTGAGATTTTATCTCTACAAAAAATAAAAACATTAGCTGCGTATGGTGGCGTGGGCCTGTAATCCTAGCTACTCAGGAACCTGAGGTGGAAGGATTACCTGAGCCCAGGAGGTCAAGGATGTGGTGAGCCATGACGGTATCACTGTACTCCAATCTGAGTGACAAAGTGAGACCCTGACTCAAAAAAAAAAGAGTTAATATTTTTGGAATGAGAGTGGGGAAGAGGAAAGATGATATCAACAATTTTAATGGTATATAAATAAGTCATATAGTATTTTTAAAGATGATGAGTATTATGGAAAAAGGAAAAAAGAGCAGGATAAAGGGATTAAATTGGGATTGCTGGGATTCAGGAATCAGTGTAAAATTAAATAGAGAAATTAGGGTAAGCCTTCTTGAGAAGGTCAGATTTAAGCAACTAGAGGAAATGAAAGAGCCAAGGAAATATGAAGGAAGAACAGGCTAGGCAGACTGTAGGCAGAGGAAGGCCTCATGGCAGGAACATGGCAGATGTTTTGTTTTGTTTTTGTTGTTTGAGTTGGAGTCTTACTCTGTCGCCCAGGTTGGAGTGCAGTGGCACGCTCATGGCCACCCCAGTGTTGACCTGCTGGGCTCTGGTGATCCTTCCACCTCAGCCTTCCAAGTAGTTGGCACTATAGGCGCGTGCTACCACGTCTGGCTAATTTTTTTTTTTTAATTGTGGAGATGAGGTCATGCCAAGTTGTCTCGAACTTGCAGGCTCAGGTAATCCATTTGCCTCAGCCTCTCAAAGTGCTGGGATTACAGGCTGAACCACTGAGCCCGGCCGGCAGATGTTTTTGAAGAACAGCATAGTCCAGTGTAGCTAGAGGAGATGAGTCAAGAGTAGTAGTAGGACCTGAGCTCAGAGAGATAAAGGCATGGGGTCATGAGGTCAGAGAGAGAGTGGCAGTTGAGGAGACAAGATCATGTAGCCATATTCTTTGAGAGAAAGTGGAGAATTTGAGCAGAGAAGTCATATTATCTGATTTAAGTTTTAACATGATCACTATAGCAATCCATCCGTTCTTGTATATCTTTGTAAAAACCTAATTGTTTAAAGAACTGTGTATTTGTGTTCTCCGGTATGTTAATTATTAACTATCTTAGCATCAATTGTAGGAACTCATTTTCTTCTTTATTTACAGCTTCCCACAGCTTGCTAAACCTAGTAATGTATTCTGAACATTTATAATATTCAACAAATGTAGCTGACAAATTGTAAGACATCGTATAATTGCAAATATTTCCCAAGCTGTCAATAGACCTTCACCTTGGTGACGGGACAGTTTATTCTTCACATATGTAAATATTTTTTAACTTTCTTACGGGGGAGGGATGATTTTGAGTTCTTCCTATTAATTATTAGCAGTATGCTAATAATTACAATGAAACCTACCACTTACAACTAAATTATGAAAAACAAAGGGATTCAGCATTAGGCAACCAGAAACATATTAGCTATTGAAACACAATCCATAGTTAATAAGTGAAATTATGAACACTAAAGAAGAGATAAAAATCAAGTGACCTAGACAATAAACTAGATAAACTAAAAGTATAGTTGTGATTTACTTGGCCTGTTTATACTTGCATCTCTTCCATCATATTTAATGCTCAAGTTATAACTCTTATATAACCTCTTGTTCCCCTATAGAAACTTTACAGATTCTTTTCAGAATATGGAATGTGACTGGAGACTAAAATAATGTCTGATAATTTCTTACTTAAGATGCCAAAATAGCAAATGTTAAAACCTCATCATCAAATATTGTCAGAATCAATATTGATTTAACTTAATGTTTGAATTAAAGATAACCAGTTTTAAAAATTCTGAAATATTGACTCCTTAATGTTATTCTAAGCGACAAAATTTAGAAGTATTTTCAAAGAATTCCCATATTTCAACTATATACAGTCCCAAGCCTTTGATGATGTAAGTATTTTATTATAATTACTTATGTACCTCTTCTCACTAGATTGTATGCTCTCTAAGGGCAGGGACTAATTACATCTTTATGTCCTTACTACTACACTCAGTGTCTAGTACATTATAGGAATTCAGAAAATATTTGTTAAATGAATACATTTGATTTTCATAGGTACATTCATTTATTTTATAGATGGATTTATATGTATATTTAGATTTGGATTAGAATTTTTCTGGAAGCTAAAGGAATTATTTTTTTCTAGGTCTAGCATATCACTTTGACAAATAAAAACAGCATGATAAAATATTAATAGTGGGTTTCTTTTGAGGTTGGAGGGTCTGGAACAATGTTATAATTTTAATAATTTTAGAGGTAAAAATGTTTGAACTGTTATTCCTTAGAGTCTTTCTAAGGCACTTTTTTTTTAGCAAATTGAGAATGTGTGTTGAAAAATTTTGCATGTTACATGATTGATTAAATTTTATTTTTTAGCTTCTTTACACAGATAGGAATTTTGTGATTTGTGCTCCAACTGGTTCTGGAAAAACTGTAGTGTTTGAATTGGCTATAACAAGATTGTTAATGGAAGTACCATTGCCATGGTTAAACATTAAAATTGTCTACAGTAAGTATTTATATATTGTAAGAGTGATGATTAATTATAATAACTAAAAACCACTGAAACAAAATGAAGAAATAAATTCAATTTCAGGGCTTAGGAATTAATTGGTTATTCATACATTTTTAATAAAGATATATCATAATTGGTCTTGTTACATTAAATTCAAAATACATTTACCAGAATTATAAATAAAAATTGATATTTGAATTGAAAATTTAAACTTTGCATGCTTACTTTTTTTTTTGAGTTGGAGTCTCACTCTGTCACCCAGACTGGAGTGCAGTGGCTGCTCCCGGCCACTGCAGCCTCAACCTGCTGGGCTCCGGCGATCCTTCTGCCTCAGCCCTCCAAGTAGCTGGAACTACAGGCACGCGCTACCATGCCTGGCTGATTTTTGATTTATTGTAGAGATGAGGTCTCACCAAGTTGTCCAGGAGGGTCTCAAATCCGTGGGCTCAGGCAATCCACTCACCTCAGCCTCCCAAAGCGCAGGATTACAGGCTGAGCCACTAAGCCCAGTTTACATGCTTATTTTTTAAAGAACAGGCAAAATGAATAAAATAAAACATTTTGTAATTCTAGAAATTTGCATAGGAATCTCTGTTCTTTCTTAGTTGTGTTTTTTTTTTTAAATTTACATCAGCCAGGCATTACAAGTGGCTCATGCCTGTAATCCCAGCACTGTGGGAGGATTGCTTGATCCCAGGAGTTCAAGACCAGTGTGGGCAACATAGTGAGACCTCATTCTACAAAAAATATTTTAAAATTAGCTGAGTGTAGTGGTGCTCACCTGTATTCCCAGCTACTCAGGAGGCTGAGGCAGAAGATCGCCTGAGCTCAGAAGGTCAAAGTTGTGGTGAGCTGTGATTGTGCCACTGAACTCCAGCCTGAGTGACAGAGAGCCCCAACTCAAAAAAAACCTTTTTTCCATCAAAGTAATATAAGCATATGGTTAAAAATATGAAATATCACAAAAGGGCTTATAATGAAAAGCAATTATTCTCTGCCCTACCTTTCTGTACTTTTAGTTACACATTTTGGTTATTACCTTTATATCTCTAAATAATATACCTATATTGTTAGCTTTTAAGTTATCAATATTAGGAGTACTTCGATGTGTATTTTTTCCTCTAACTTTATTCACCAAAGTTTGTGAAAATAATTTAAAATTATCATTGATATTTAAAATGAATATTTTATATTGTTACAGTGGCACCAATAAAAGCCCTGTGTAGTCAGCGTTTTAATGACTGGAAAGAAAAATTTGGATCAATAGGATTGAATTGTAAAGAACTTACTGGAGATACAATAATGGATGACCTATTTGAGATTCAGCATGCCCATATTATTATGACAACTCCAGTAGGTATCATTTATACTTTATTATTTCCCAGGTTCGTTTAAAAATATCTATTTTTCGGGCAATCCCTTTGGGTCCCCTCCCACTGTGGGAGCTTTTCTGTCCTCTCAATAAATCCTGCTGTCTAAAAAAATATATATATTTTTTTCTTCACCAAGAAAAAAAGTTAAAATACAAACTAGAAGCATATGTTTGCAATGTAAACAAACAAACAAACAAACATAAAAGGTGCTAATATTAAGGTGTACAAATAATACCCACAAATCAATAAGCAAATGACAGAAAAACACATAGGAAAAATGGACAGTAAATAGGCAATTTGTCTTATGGGTGATTTGTAATCATATTTTATTCCTTGTATTCTTTTACCCAAGTATATATGTTGTAGAGGGAGGACCTTGGTGGTACTTTATTTATTTATTTACTTACTTATTTATTTTTATTTTTATTTTTTTGAGTTGGAGTCTCACTCTGTCACCCAGACTGGAGTGCAGTGGCCGCTCCCGGCCACCGCAGCCTCGACATGCCGGGCTCCGGCGATCCTTCCGCCTCAGCCTTCCAAGGA